CTTGATTTTTTTAGACCAATATATTTTTTCAAGTATAATGTTTCTAAAATATATTTAACATGAGAATGTTCTCCCATTTCTAATGCCAATCTCCTGAGAAGCTGATTTAAATATATTGTGTGTCTTAGAATTGATTAACTTTGGCATGTGAACATTTAATACTAAAGTTATAGAGCAAAATTGGGATGTGATACCAAGTGATCAGCTTCTAGCAGCCTCCCAGCAAAAAAAAAAAAAAAACTTAGCAAAATTACATGGCGTTTTTTCACACAATTTGTGACCAAACACTTGATTCTCTGGTCTATCAGGCTGAAGGTAACTGGAGACTCACCCAAACCCAGAGATCATTAGTAATTCCATGGACATTTTTTGTTTTGAGACAATTAGAGATTCACATGCAGTTATAAGAAATAATACATGGAGACCCCATCTACCTTTTCCTCAGTTTCCCCAATGGTAACATTTTGTAAAACAATAGCGCATTATCACAACCAGAATACTGACCCTGACATAATCCATCAAATTTATTTTAATTTCTTCTTTTACTTGTACGTGTGTGTGTGTGCGTGTGTGTGTGTGTGTGTGTGTGTGTGCAGTTAGTTCTGTGTCATTTTATCACATGTGCAGATACCTGTTTCCACCACCACACCACAGGCAAGACAGAGAACTTTTCCATCACCACAAAAATACCTTTGTTGCCCATTTATAACCACACCTTCCTCCTCCCCTCGTGGATTTTTCACAGACCAGGGAATTGATGGCGGTATATTTTCTAGCTGTGTTTTTGGGAAGTAAGGGATGTCTACTTTTCCTCTTGTGAATGCCTGCAAGTAAATAATGTAAGTGAGTGAACCCTGAGTGTTCCACCATGCTCTGGCTGTGCACCTTCCTGTTGCCTGGCGAAGAAACCAGCAGCAGGGGTGGAGGGCTGCCTCAAGCCGGCAGCATTTCTAACTCACTGAAGGCACAGAACCAAATTTGCCACCTCTGTTTCCCTTCCCAGATTACGCTCGATTTGAGGCCAAAATCCATGACCTACGAGAGCAGATGATGAACCACAGCATGAGCTCCGGGTCCGGGTCCCTGCGAACCAATCAGAAACGCTCCCTCTATGTCAGGTAGGCAACGGAGTATTTCTTACTGTGGTCCGCACATTGTGAGTGATCCAGCTTGGGGAGACCAAGGGAACACCTTGTAGCAACGGACCATGTGCTTTTATTAACCCAGGCTCATCAATATACCACTGCAAGACCTTAAGTTTAACCACTTTGAAGAAGTTTTTACGTTAAAAGCCTCCGCTTTTAACAAGTTATTCTTTGATTATGCTATGATCCAGGGTAAAGTTCTTAGCACAGGGTGCAGTGAAAATAATGAAAAACATCATTTTCAATTTTGATAAATCTTAAATATGTGGGCCAAAGCCCTGGGTATTTGCTTGCCATCAGGATGGGAAGTAAGTATTCCTGTATCTCCTCCTGACCTGCTTGATAACTGCTGCATTAGCTGCAGTGTATTGATTTGAAATCAGAAGTCCTCTTTTATAAAGTTATGTGTCTTTTCCTAACAAGTTTGGGTAGAAAGACTTCTGTAGCATCTCATACCAATCATCTATCAGACCACAAAAGTTACTTGTTCCTTGCCTGATAAAAATCACTATTTAATAGAAAACAAATTGATTGAACTTGAAATGCCTTCCAGTCTTTCAGCCTCATAGTTAACACTCAAGTAAGATCCTTCATCATTCAAATATAATATGTTGAGTATTATAGCACAAGCCTCCTATATTCCTTCCAAAACACACGTCATCAGTACTGACTGTACTTTTAAAAATAACATAAGTATTAACAGCCGAAGGGGGAAAGTGACGCCCAATTAATTGTCAAAATGAATCCAGGAACCAATGGAGGAATCGTAACCATCCTCACTGTATTCCGCTCTCCCTAGCCAGACCCAGAATGTGGTCTGACTCCATCTGAGGTCATATTCTCCTCACCTGAAATTTCACTCTTTTCCTGGCATGAGGTGTGTGTTATGGATACTAAATTATGTACCTAAATTGACTTGTCCTGTTGATTCCACATTGGCTATGCAGTTATGTTTTGTGTGTATTAGGTAGGCACAGCATGGCCAGAAAGGAACAGGATTCCAGAAAGCAGCAGGCTCTCAAGGGCCTTGATCTGGCCACTCTGACAAGCATAGAGTCCCTTCTTATTCAACACAGTTCCAGTACCTCATATTTTACCTGAGGTTTTACCAGTACCTGAGATTTTACTTTAAAAAAAAGTCAGAATATTAATGTTCCAAATTTCTCCAAGTGCATTTTGGAAGATTATTTTGATATGCTTTGATGTAATAATGTCTGAAAGGAACTACTGAGGACTACCTTAGACCATGTTTTGTAGTGACGTCACAAATATGATGGAAAGTGGCTATTTCTGTTTTCCTTTCTTATGTTGTGTTGCTGGTCTTTGTGAGACAAAATATTTTTTAATCTTGAAATGTTTTAGTCTTAGGTAGCAAGTTGGGAAAAGCCAACTAGGTTAATAAGATAGAGATAAATCAGTTAATGAAAATAAAATGGCTATATAGAATAAAATTGGAAGGAAATATTACCATAGTGTCAGTATCTTGTTAAAAAATAGAATGCACAAAATGTTAATGTACTAGAAGAATTTTGCTGGAAATATATTGATATTAGCTTAGTCCTTTTAAGTAAGTTGTAGATTAGGAAAATTAAATGAAGTAACAAATGATATGTAAAACTAAAGACTTATTTGAAAGAGTTGTGTTAATCAGAATCAAACCTTTATTCTCTAATATGGTAAATAAAACCATGACATATAAAAGATTTAAAGACTTAAGGTAACAAAGAATGTTGCCTTGTTTACATTCTAATAGTGTTCCTCCATTCTTGAGTTGTACACCTGTTTTGAAAGGAGGAACCACTTTTAAATGAGTCTCAAAAATAGCCAATACTTCAAGGGGAATTCTCCAAATGATTCTTACAATAGACACAGATGGTATTTGGCTTCCAGTGTTCGATTCTTAATACTTATTTTGTACTTAGAGGCCTGACTGCAGCATCTAAATGACTCCTAGAGGCATATGGAAGAGATATGGACTATGAATAGGGTTAAAATAGAGGGAAAGAACTTACAGCATCTTTGGTCTTGTTCTCATGCAATGTAATAAAACAGACACNTCTCTCTCTCTCTCTCTCTCTCTCTCTCTCTCTCTCTCTCTCTCTCTCTCTCTCTCACATACACACACAGGTATAACGTGCACACAAACATGTAACATTTATATTTGTAAACCCAGGTCTTATTGTTTTCACTGTGATGCAGTTACTTATATTTAGCTTTTATTTTTCAAAAAGGATCAAAGAGAGGAGTAAGCACTTCGAACACAGGATTTGTGATAAACATGATTGTCCAAGTGGAAAAGTTGAAAGTAGGATGTATTACAACTAAGACAAATGCAGTACAATACAGTGCAATGCAATACAATGCAATATAATACAGTACAATGCAATACAATACAGTACAATACAATGCAATGCAATATAATACAATACAGTACAATGCAATCCAATACAGTACTTCCTCATTTCTAGTGGGGAATGTAGACACTGTCAGATATGATGTAGAACAAACATTTCAAACGCATGGCAGCAAACACATTTTGGAGCTCTATTGAGCCATACAGTAAGGAGACCACAGTTTATTACTGAATCAATGATCTTGTGATGTATAAAGTGTGGCAGCTGGGAGAGCTTTGACAAAGCTTTGATCATCTGTAGGATAAGTATCAGAGAAATATTTCCAATGTATGACATGGCTGAGATGGGCAGAACACAGAGATATGGAGAACAATAAAAATAACAGCGGGATTTGGGAATGGCAGTGATTAGACAGGAAGGAAGCCTTGAAATTAGGACATTTAGCTTTGAAAGAAGAAGTCCTAGGGGAGAAGCCTGCTGCCTTTCTCCATTAACAACCTTAACATTGAAAACAGGCAATTTCAGTACCTGCAGGCATTTTATAACTGAATTCATTTAACGATTCTGTTCACTTCCTCATTCATTATTTATTCATTCAGAAAATGTTTATTGAGCACCTATTATAAAAAATGCCTCCTGCATACCAGATGCTATATTAGGAACTGGGACTTCCAAGGAGAGTGAGAAGTGGCTTCTGCCCTCAGAGAGTTCAGCCTCCTGGGGAAGGTGGCAACTGTGCAAATCAATGCAATTTGGTGTGATGAGTAGTAGCAAAGTGGTCAGATGGGATAGGGGACTGACACTAAATTAGATGCCTAAGGGGGGGGACAGTTGGAGGTGGCATTTCAGGTTTTTATCGTGGTAATGAAGTCATTGAGGTTGTAGGGAGTCCCGAGAACAAACAGATGGGAGATTTAGTGGTTCTGCGTGAGGGCGAGCAACGTGTGGTATTTATCAAGTGGCAATGTGGAGAATGGATCAGAAGACACTAAGAGTTCCTTCTGTGGGTTCCAGGTCAGGTTGTCTTCTTCTCAGAGAAACGCTAAGGGGGTTGTATGATGCCTGTGCAAGGCTTTGACTAGTACGTGCGCTACGCTGCTCTACTAACCTGCCATAAGTGTGCACATACTCTGAGATCCCTGTTTGTAACAGCAAAAAGCTGGATGGGCCTCAATATCTACCTGTATGAGAATTATTTATTTATTTGTTTGTTTTTTTTTTTTATTTTTATTGAGGAACAATGTTTTTCCAAGGCCCATCAGCTCCAAATCAAGTAGTTGTTTCAATCTAGTTGTGGAGGGCACATCTCAGTGGCCCATGTGGGAATCGAACTGGCAACCTTGGTGTCATGAACACTGTGCTCTAACCAACTGAGCCTAACTGGCCATCCCTGTATGAGAATTATTAAATAAATTACTAAACTATGGGATGTGATTAAGGATATTTAAAAATATGGTATTTATGTATTTGGGAGAAGGCAAAGAAAAATCCAAGTTGGGACCTCATATATATATGTGGGTATGTGTGTATATATATACATTCAAATGATTTGAGAAATGTTTGTGGACGTCCAGCCCACCACCATACATGTACCTCTAGGATAAGCTGTAGGGAAGGACAGCAGTAATAGAGAAGGTGGGGAAGGGAGAAGAGGCAAGAGAACCTCGTAATTTTTATTCTGTGTTTTTCTATACAGTTCAAATTTTACAACATCCATAGACTTTGTTTTGTCACTTACATCAGAAATGAAAGAATGCCCACAAAGTACTGAGCACAGCATCTGTTATGTGGCTAGCAATAAATATTGACTCTTTTAGGATGGCAAGAAAACATAGCTTACACAAAATGATTTAAACCCGCCTAGAGCACCATACTGATGGTTATAAATAAGTATTTCCTCTCTTTACTAAGATGGAATGAAGTAAATATCTTGAAGCATAGTCAATAAATTTTAGGTACAATATATGTTTTGCTTATTCAATCATTTAGGATTTAAGTTTTCAAAGCTAAGTTTGGAATACAAAGCTTTCCAAATATAGATAATAATAGGTTGACTTAAGCACTAGACATTTGCTGTCAACTAGTATGGTTTGATCTTTAGAATACTAAACTTTAAAAATATTTAACAGTCAGAGGCCATTGTTCTACATTATTGAAAACTAAGGTAAAATATTTTCTTCTATGAAATTCCATCCCACAAAAACCAATAGAGAGATATTCAGTAACTTGAGTTTCACTTTAATGATGTGGAGCTTTTTATTTGTAATGAGTTTCAAGCACACTGTAAGTAGATCATCTTTTATTATATTCATTTAGTCATTCTTGTTATGAAAAGTTACAAATAAATTAAATTGGAAATCAAATTGTTTTTTTGAAATGTACTGAGGACCTCAGTTAAAATTCCTCATGATGAGTTTCTTTATAATTAAAAGAACCATTGAAAATTTGAATGAACATTTACACATTTATCTTGTGGGTAAATTGAGCTTTTCACTGACCGGGTTTTCCTAAAGCAAGAGACTCTATTGTGCCAAGGAGATGATAGAACAAGTTGTGATCAAGAATATCAAAACTTCAGAAGTTGTTTCTTTTTATAGGCTGATTGTGTTAATCTTAAAA